ACAAGGCAACTCGAGAGCGGGATCGTAAATAAAATTATAATTGTAATAATTATTCCATAGCAACAATTGTAATGTATGTAATAAAATATCAGGCGGGCATAGCGAAACAATAAAATATACGTTTAATTGTAATACGCCCTTACGTCTAATTACACGTCAAGAAGCGCGGGCGAAGTGCTAAGTCGGGCTCTAGCTATAAGGGCAGTTTATACACGTGCGACTACAAAACGAAAAATAAATGGCTACCACTCAGACACGCTTAAGTAACAAATAATATTTTATAAACTCACACATTACTCAATATTGTCATGTTTTGTGCATAGGTATGTGTAAATTACATATCGATAAAATACTTTTCTTTAAATAATCTTTTCCTGGACTACTGTGTCTTGTTTAGTTTACTTTGGCTAGGCAATGTAAAGATGCCGTCGCTGTACTCCGGCAGCCTAACTGCGTCATAACATTGGTACATTAAATGTTCAGACATGGCGTTTAGCAGGTAATATTCAGCGGGCTTGAATAACTAATTGCTATAATTACCGGCCCCTCGCTGAGTGGCTGTCGCGCGGCCATTATGATTCTAGATAAGTGCACTTCGTGCGAGCCAAGATTTTGTTTGCGCGTAAAAATTCTAATTAGTGTAACGTGATGCGAGTGATGTGGCGATGATCTCGCTTTACTCGTAATGTTGCTAGCATATCTAATGACAAAATGGGTCGACATCGCATCTTGTTTAGGTGAGTATGGCTGTTTCTTCCTCACCCATCAAATAATCCCCATGCTTGTCTAACCTCACATCCACTTTCTTTATAAGTATGTGAGTAGATAATGATAAAGTGTTTGAAAGCTTTTTTATTTTTTACATGTTATTGCACATGAAGGCATGAATGTAAAAATCGAAAATAAATTGGAAAAATGTTTCGACTCGGGCAAGACTTGAACCAGCATCGTCAACGTTCCGTGCTGTTGCTCTCTAGAGCGTTTCAATTTTTTCAATTTATTTTCGATTTTTAAATGATAAAGTGGATAGATATATTAAATTTAGATGGGAGACGTACCCGTCTCCTTAATTTTTGTCAAAAAAAAAACAAAAAATAAACTTTAATAGGTATAAGAAGTTAAAGTTATGTTTCTACAATTTTGTTATACCAAATTTAATCGGTTATGGCACTATATTACGATAAAATGTGCAAGACGGCGACTTATAAAATCTTTCTTGTGACTGAAGGGCGAAACAAATTGCAATTCTACAACTACGAGGTATCATTTTCATCCAGTTGGCAGTTGTTTTGTAAGAACCTTAGTGTAGTTTCTCACAAGAATCATAATTTTATATGACATTTCGCCACATCTCGCGTATGATTTTATGTCTTTATTTACACGATGCGAACCCGGTGTCCGTGTAATTTTTTGCTTTGCCCCGTACTTGATGAACACAATTTGTTTGTAGGTGCTCATCAATAGCGGTTAACGTGTAATTTCTTAAAGGTCATTCGGATAATATGCGACTTTTAAAGGTAATTTTAAGTGTAAATAAATCAATATTCTTTGTCGTTTACGGTACGACATAATTGTCTTTAATACTAGTAATCGATTCAAGCCTATCGTAAAAATAAATTTGCGAGTACGTGTATTTTGATCGGTTTTTTATGATAGAGACAAACATGAGGTACACTCGATAGAAGGTATAATACCCTAGCCATATTTAATCTAAACAAGACGCGCTATCGACCTATTTTTGTTTTGGAAATATCCTGAAACCAAAACGCGATTAACCTTGTCGGCTTTTCAGATGTGGACGGTGGTTCGTGACCCGAACGGAATTTAGACATTCCAACCACCCAGGCGAAATTAAATTAAAAATCCAAAGGTTTTGAGTTCAAACCCCCGAAGTCACAGAGGGCTAAAGAAAATAAGGCTTTGCTAGTGCTATTAAATATAATAGTGATCACTAGTGAAACATATATAAAGAATCATTCATCTCTGAAACCCTCAAATTCGACAAACACACGAACACAAACAACACAATAGCGTGCGTAAGCGACGAGCGCGAATATAGTCAATACATGTTAGCGATAAGGGCTATTTTCGTATAAAACATGGAAAGCTTTAAAAAGGCACATGTTTATTAAATCCCATTGTGTGGCCGACATTAGGGCCTATTGTTTCCCGTGAAATGATGGGAGGCAGGTGCTCCGCAGGGGTCAAGTATGACCAGTTTATAAATAAACCGAGATTAAATAAATATTATCCATACATTTGCACTGTAAGATTCTCATCCCCCACCAAGGTACTTTACGACCTTTCCCCGTGGGGCATGGGGTGAACACATGTTTATGTCCGTTGATTGATTCACGAGTAGTTGTAACGAATTCCCCTTTTAAAGCGTATTTTAAATCTCTTAGTCCCAACCTACATTCGACCTCTAACTTGAAATAATTCAGGGGTGGAAAGGACCTCTAAAAATGTAAAAAATAACACTCAAACACATCAACATACCAGAATGAGATACGTAAAATGAAACGTTCCGTTGTAAACTTGTCAATTTATCGACACTCAATGGCGAGCGACGTGTGTGGCAAAACTTACCTGGAACAAAAAAAGGGGGTTATTAGTTAATGTTGCGGCTAATACAGAGAACATAGAAGACATATTTCGAATAATATAAAAAGTGTGCCACGGAAACGGGTTTCCACTTCGGTATATCAAACGGTGAAAAATTATGTCAAGAATTTTAAGACTCGAGCCTACAAGAGGTGAAACTTGTTTATGTAGCTACAGACTTGAACCAACTTTGATTAAAAACCGTCAAACGAAGCACAGTGTATATATAAACAACCGAAACAGTAATACCCAAGTCAATTACTCACATAATAAATTAGAGTTAAAAGTAACGGTTCAAAACGCGAAATATAGTTAATTTATTTGAAGTACCTATGATTCGTTAAGGACGTTTCGTAGGCTATCTAGCAGCCGTGTTCACGGCAGTTCATTAATATTTCTCGTTTTAAACCGTTAAATAAAAGTATTTTTTTATTGTGTAACCTACAGACAGTATTTGATATAGTTTAATAAAATATATCACGTTTTAAACGTAAGTTATATTTCCAAAAGGTACAAAGTACATAATATATACATATACACTGCAGATATAAACTCATCTGTCGCGCTCATTGCTTATTTACTATTTTAATTTAATCTACTAGCGAAAGATTCCTCATTCTATATGAACGGGCTGTACTGTTAGCTCTGTATACTGTGGCCACAGAAAGTCGTAAAACTGCGCAGGCGCCATATGGCGGAAGTGATCTGCATTCTAGCCACATTTGTTTACCGCGAATAACAGTATGCAAACAATAAATGTTACTTTTTCACCTTTCGCCGAAGAACGGCGTTATTCAAAAGTACATAAATTTTTACATCTGCGGAAGTCGAGATTCACACGAGTTTGTAATAATTGCGGTTAATGGTTTTATAATTGCCGGTCTGTCGTTTTGGTGAACGCTGGAAGCAATCAGACACAGCTAAGATACAAGTCAACTAAATAAACAGTACATTTGACTGTAATAAGGGAAAATTCAATGAAGGCATAAACTTTTTGATGTGAAACATCTATAGTCGCACGTAAAACCGATTTCTGGCGTGGCGACGCATGCCGTGGCGATACGATGCCACGCTATACGATGGTATATATATACAGTCTATATGCAGTAGTGTGTACGGTGTGGTGGCGCGGTTAATTTTTGTATTTAATGAAAATAAATGTTTATTCAATAAATAGTCATCGTTATCTGGAAAAAATCGTAATATTTTATTTTATCATTATGACATATTTAGTTCCTATCACAATAGGTTCTTTTCTGCACATTACTTTTACAAAATAATGGCGATGTTTCACATCTGCCAGGCGTCCCGTGACGGCTCACATTTTTTTTTTTAGATATTATTATTAGTATGTAAGTTAATAATATATAAATAAAATAATTTCCTAAAGAAGCCCGTTTCTTCCCCTTAAGGCACGAGCGAAGAAATTTTTATATTCCTTTCACTAAACGGTTTTCATCATCAGAATCTGAAGTCTGTGCCGACCGAAACAACCTATTGCTTCCCCGGGGTTCGAATCCAGGACCTCTAGCGCTTAACGGAATGCAACAGGTTTAATTATTCTACTACTAACCATAACAAATACGTCAAAAAGCACTTTTAACGGTTCGAAACATGTAATGTCATTGTGTTATTTTTTAAGTATAAAAAAATCTAACTTTTTGAATTAGCCCTTTTAAAAGTTCAGTACCTACTAGTGTAAAATAAAAAGAAATGAAAATAAAACAACTAAATTTATGATATATACAATTTGCGTATAGTTGAAAGCTCAAAGCGAGCATACGGCGATAATCTTCCGCGTTCGTCGCGAAACGAATCAGTTCTATAGACAGCAATCAGTGGCCCATTAAACGACCACGCTGAAATTAGATACCGCGAACAGTACCAATTATAATCCTTCCGGAATATTGGACCTTGGGACATAATTTCGCAGTTCGCACACCGTACGAGGCGAGTCAACGCGGAAACACCCTGTTAGGTATGATTCTGCGCAAACGCGTGTATTCAAATTAGGAAGACAAATAATCATGGGGTTACTTGATGGATGGTAAAAAGTTACGTTAATCTCATCAGCTCTTCAAGCATTTTTCAAAAATAAATATGTAAATTAAAAAAAAAAACAAAATATATTACTTTAGGAATAAGTATATAGATTACGCTCTGGTTACTACTCTGGAACTAGTTTTGTATAACTTCATCATTATGCATCTCATTAAAAGTTATTTATTCTGAAATTAAGAAAATAAGGTCAACATTTATAGCCAAAACAGTAACCATATTTGATCGAAGTTTATTGTGATTTTATTGGTACGCATTTTCAAGCGACGCCTGTATCTATCTATGGGTCGCGATTAAGATCTTATCGGATAGATAGCGATAATATGAATTATCCGAAAATGGATTTTAATGGTAAATTTATGTGAAACTATTTTGCTTCTTTATTTAACCTAGAAGAGAATCTTATTTAGTTTTTCTTATTACAGATTCCAAAAAATGTGACACAGACCTACAATATTTAATATAGCTTAGTACTCGTTATATACGTAATTCAAAGAAAATTCTCAAGTGCAAGAGGCTCGTTAAAACTCGAATAGATGTAGGCACTGCTGACTCACACCACGTGCTGTGACGTCACTCGTGATGTAATCAAATGTAATCGTGCATGATCTTGAAATTATTGCTTTATTCAGTTTTGTAATTTACGAGCAAAATTATAGGTTTACCATCGTGTGTAGGTTATATTATTACTCGTTTCTTCTTTTCAGTATCTACAATAATACATCTATTTTTAGCGTAAGGGCTGCTATGGTTTTTTATATTAATTTAAGTATTATATGAGGCTGCTAGATGCAGAGTAGCCTAAATACAAAAAACATAATTTTCTTTTTTATCTATTTTATAATTTATTAGGCGAAAATGAATATGTACTAATATTTATGTAAGAATTATTTAAAAAAAATAGGATTCTGTGCTCTTGTAGATTTGCATTTTTAGACTATAAAAACATAAGTAACTCAAGTCATAAAATTGCAGTTAGGCTACTCTGCCTCTAGCGGCCTCATATATTGTATAGTATACAATAAACATAGTATATAAATTAGTTTGAATTTTGCATTACTTACACGTTCGATTTAGCACCCTCTATAACTGTCACAGCCATCAATCGGGAAAACAAGGGTACATAAGAAAAGCGACCAACACATATTGAAGAAAATTTTGTCTATTCTAATATATTTTTTAAACGTTTTGTTTTCTTGTAATTCGATTGTCGCCAGGTAAGTTAGAGCACAGATTGCAATCAGTGAGGGAACGGCGCTCGAAGGCCACAGAGGTACAGAAACAGTCGGGACCGGTCACGTTTAGAGAGAGCATGTCCAAGGTCCATCGTGACTTATTGGCGGGGGTCGGGGGTCAACGAGATGTTATCGATCAGCTCTGGCGAAATGCAACTGGGGCTAAACAAGCAACGGTGATTAGTTGCGATGAAGAGAAAATTCTGGAATCCGTGTAATATGATGTTTATAGTTTACTATTGGTTCGCTATATTGGGATTTGGTAGGTACTGCTACAAAAATACTTAATCCCTGACCTGACTCGGTTAAAGAAATTTCTATTTGTACTAAAGTATAAATAGGTCACTTTTATTTTTTCTTAAACTTACTAAGCTTATGTGCAATCGGCTATTAAGCGAAACGTAATGATTGCTTTCATAAAAATTTAAAACCAAAGAACGTCCTTGTTAATAAAAAAACCTAACAAAAAATACATAGTACAAAATATTATTTAACAAGTGTGGCGGAACACGTTATTGTTGTAAATGTAAAAAAACACGATGAGAAACGAGAAGAATTCACGAAAAACTCATTATGCCTTCAATTGTTGTTCCGCATAACTTTATTGTACTATAACATCTTATGACATACTTTTGTATAATACTTGTTATTATTAAACTTATTCGTATAATAAATATTGGCTTATGAGAACAATGTTAGAATTTAATCGTAGGTGGAAAGATTTTTAAAATGGCTTTTAATAAATGATAGTTCTATAGCAAACATTCTTGCAGTTATTTAAATAAAAATATTTCTATAATAAAAACATAATTAACAAACACTTAATATGAAAGTTTTAAATGTCGTTACTTTAACTAATGATAGTAACCTCCACCATGCATGTGTATGCATATATGAATTTACAAAGTTTTCAAAATATTTCATTTTTTGTCGGTACGTAGAGGCACTACGTGGTTAGAAGGCAATGCGCAAGCGCAGGCAAAGTGGAGCGTGCGAACCGCCGCACTGCCCTGTATGGAAACCTCTTGCGGCGCAATCATTATTATGCTATGTGTACGTCGTTCACTGCACGAGGAATTGGATCATACCCTTCGTTGACGAAACCTAGTTTCTTTGACATTATTTTCCTTAAAAAAAAAAACTACTTTAGAGTTTTTGAAATATCGGTGAGACATGTAGTATTCGGAGCTACGATCAATAGCAGATCGTGCCGTGGCTCTAGATTTGGTAAAAAATATCACGCGAGTACACTAGTTTTAATAATAAGAATTCTAATAATATTAATAATCCAACTGTTATAACAATCTGTCAGCTCTGCAGAATCTGTGAATATTGAAAATCTTTAAACGGTAATCTTTTATGATTCCAATAATGCAGTAAGGGCTTTTATCTAGTACTTAGATAAAATGGTCAGTTTCAATAGTTAACAAAATGTCTTATGTAAGCTATTATTATACTTACTAACCTAAATTGTTGCAGATACCACAGTTAGACTTAAAAATAATCTTGACTCTGGAGCGGTGATTCCCAAAGTGGTCGACAACAAACTGCAAGGGGTCTATGTCAGCGAAAAAAATTTGGGGGTCCATGAAATGAAAATGGGGGTCCGCGATAGTGGAGCTCCACACGTACACTCATAGTACCTATTTACTTGCATCATACTATCTTATAATATTAAAACATATACATAACAGATACACAATTTTATTTTGAGTAGTTTTAATTTAAATTAAATTAATAAATATATAAATTAACATGTGTTCACACTTTAAGTTTTTAACACTAAACTTCACTACAGTTAGAAATTACAGGAAACCAATATCAGGTAAGTAGGGGGAGTCTACCCAACATGGCCAGGGGTCTACGACACAAAAAAGTTTGGGGACTCTGCTCTAGAGGGACGCTTAAAGACGACCATCATAAAGCCATATCAAGTGCCTTTGAGTAATGAAATATGACTATATCAAATAGCAACAAATAATTGAACGTTGTTGTTGTATTACTATTTCGCCATCCTCGCAAATTATGATATGTTTACTCTACGTGAGAAACAGCAGCGATTGTTATGCAGACCGCTTAGAACGCGATATCCAACGATTACACTTCCTTATATAACCTTAGCCTTGATTGGGATACGAGATAATAACCGCAATAAAAACCGCGCACAGCCGACCTACGTGTTGACAAAGCGACGTCAGTGACGTAAGAGTCGAGAGGGATATTATCCCTCTCGACTCTTACGTCACTGACTTACGTCTTACGTATGAAACGAGAACAGAATAATTGAGAAAGGAGAAGGTGTGGAGTTCGTAACTAAAATTTCTAAATACACTTTTACTATTAGTCTCATATATTATAATGATTTGTACACACAATATATCCAAAGAGGAACTGATAATTATTAAAGACTTAAAATCAAAGAGATCCTATAGCGTTGGATAGACAACAAATTCCGAGTACAACGCAATCTCTATGCAGTCGATGCACCTGAGGCGGCGCGAGATGACATTTCAGCTCGTGACTGGGTAATGACAACTCGTGGCATTCTCGGAGAGATTTTTCGCGTTTGCGAAAGGAGTCGTGATCGGTAACAATCGAGCGGTTGAGGCCGCTCGAATGTTGTGCAATGCGTAAGGGGGAGATTGATGACAGCGAGACCGCGTTAGCATAGAATGGCAAGTTTACCACACAGATAGAGGTGAATACTCCCTTACATTGTAACAACACTGTGCCGAGTCTGTAGTTTACCTCCCCCCGTGACCACGGCTGCTGTGAAGCATCCGAAACGTCGTGTCATAGTTACGATAAGTAAACGAATATTTTCCGTTTTAAACCATTATGAGTGTTTTATTTAAACATTGCGCTACTGAAACATAATACGTGGGTGCAAAAGTGGATAGGCGAAATATTGGTTTAAAATATTTATATAGGTCCCTATTCTTTTTATTGGTCAATATCAATTACTACAATACAAAATTATTACAACTCATCAAGTGGGTAGTTTTAAGAAAATCCGTGCGAACTATGAACAGCCAACGCTATAACAACCATAGATGGTAGAGAGCATTTGTATTAGCAGATGCAATTTATAAAGGCATCTTTGTTGTAAACAATGAAAAATAGACGTTATTGTTCCGATTCAAGCCTTTATTTAAATGTCTGCAAAATCCTTTTCAACCAAAACACACCAAACGCATGCAGTACACTGAAAGTCTAGAAACATTACTTTCTCTCCCCTAGGCTTTGGCTCTTCATTTCCTAGAATTTCACGAAATTACTGCACATACGCAAATGCAGAAGGGGTTGGCATGAGTCATTTACATGCGTTTAAAGTAAGACACAATCACGCGAAGACCCCTTCGTTTGGGGTGAATCAAGTCGGAAAGGAAAACCGCTTGATGTCGTACGTATAGAGGGGGCGACGAGTGTTTTTCTAATCTTAAGCTTTCGCTTTGAATGTTGCATCTATCATTTAAACTATACCAGCATTTGAAATATGCAACAATACAAAAACAGGGAGTAATATTTGCGCGCGTATTACTAGACTGCATTGTTTTATTAACGTGGTTTTAAAGACGTCTGTAAAATATAAATATTATTATCTGCTTGTAAGTGCAATTTATCAAGATATTTTTTACTTTTTATAAGCACTAGAACTTACTTTTATAATATAATTACTTTTAACGGTTCAAAAAGCGTAATATATTAATTTCAACTACGGTCCAGCATTTGGTATGCTTTGCTGCAGTCGCGGTCACGGGGGAGTGAAGATGGTGGGTGCACCAAAAAAGTAAAGTTCCTCGTTTTAAATCTTTAAAAGTGTTTGATTCAAATGTCTACTACTTACTCGTTCAGACAAGTACAGACAGTAGAAGATCCTAGAAATATCAAATATATAAAATTTTACTAGTAGACACTTAGGTATTATTTAAATAAAAAGTACACAAATGAAATCCTATTACTTTGATGACATTTAACAGTTAGAACGGTCTTAAACCAAATAAGACATACCTACATGAACGAAATCGCACATATCCTATTGCGTTTTAAAGCGTATAAACTTTTTTACGGCCGCGGGATGCCTGAATGCGTCGTTTATTCGCAATTAGGCTACCATTACGCGTTTGTTTCGCCCACATTTTAATCGAGGCGTGTTTTTGCCTCTCACGTGTAAGCCACCTTCTCAATGGGGTTTCATTAGGTGCACGCTTACAAAGAAATTGTGTTGTTGTTATATAGGTGAAACGGCCCGTTTGAAAAATTTACATTCGAAGACTAACACTTTTTACATGTTGTTAGTCCGTATGATGACTCGAGGATGACGCATGCAGTCAAAAAAGTTGAGATACCGTAACAAGGTATTGGTTATGACAGCAGCACGGAACGCTGTGGATGTGGATTCAAGTCCCGCCCGCGTCGAAACTTTTTACAATTCTAAATAGATATTATTTTATATAAATGTACATTTAATAAACGTTTTATCGTCAACAACGTAACTATAAAATATAAAATAATATCGAGTATGAATTGATTTAGAATACATGTTACAGGACGTGCGCATACGTTATTTTAAAAGATATTAAAAAAGTGTAAATCTAATTTTTCCTATGAGTTTGGAAAACATATAAAATAATGATCACGTTTCGGCGGACGTCATTTTCAGTATTTCTGAACGTATGTATGGCTACGTATCATATCGTAGTAGGAATAATAGAGACAGATTCACAATATTATCTGCAACACATAATGAGTTGATAGTCGAATGGTCGCGGTTTTTATAGCTGTTTGAAGTGTTTCCGAGAAGACAATCCCGGTGGCTCTTTTTATGGTCAACTTTATGATCGTCCAAACATTCGCTGGACGTGATTGCGGAAACATTTTCGGTTTGAGACTTCTTCATATGGGGTCTGCCGATGTATTTTCGTATATTTTATGGCGTAGATAAATCTTTTTTGATACACTTTACGAGATTGGGAGCACATACAACGCAGTGCAACAACCAACAATAATATAAACTTTTAGATGGGACACTTTCAACGGTGTAAGACGCGAAATATATTAGTTAAGTTATTTTTAATTGAATTGAACTACGGTAGTGGTACCTCCCAATTATAATATATACAACTTACTACTTGTAAATACATTAAACCAGAGAATCAGTAACCCGAAGACGTCATGAAAAGCTCGTTACTTGAATACTCTATTCACTTCAGTTGTT